CTACCTCATTCACTTCTGCAGGGATATAAAACAAAACAGTAAAAGTGTAATTCTTCACAGAAGCCTTTTTTAATTATTATTTGATGAGTATTGTATCTTCTTTTTCATCTTCTCTAGAAGAAGACTATACTTTTCTTGCACTCTTCTGGCGTTAGCCATGTTAGACTTTATGATCCTTTGGGTCACTTCCAATTCAAGATATTCTGTGTTTCTATGTTTTTTAGATCACTCACTGTTCTCATTGCTCTCTTTTGACTTCATCCAAGTGCAATGCCCTAAACTGCAGTCCTCCACTAGCTGAAGACTCACTGCTGCTGAAAGAGCAGGGAGTTTCTTTCCATATGCCAATTCTTACCCCAAAGCCTATCTCCCCCTTGAAACTAAACTAAAACCCCCAGGAAATTCTCTTTTACCCTCCTGGGTACATTCTGGAGTGACCATAGTGGCAACCATGCCAAGCTTCCCTGAAATTCTTACTGAAAATGAGGACAAATTCTCCAGCCTTCTCTCTGGTATCCCTATCCATCACATCACATCTCACTCTGTGTACACCCAGGCTTACAACTCCAGGCTCAATCTACCTTCTCTGTTCTCTGTCCTACTGAAAACCTCCAAGAGAACATGAAGACATAGTACAAGGATACCCAACTGCCAAAAAGGCCTTAAATCAATAATGCACTTATACATATGCAAAAGTTCAGTCTTCTTACTTTAAATGACATGCTGGATAAGAGCAGGGAGCATGTTTTGAATCACCAGTTTTAAAGCCTTATCCATTGACACTCTGTAGTATGGATTCACAGATTTTACCAGATACCTGAATAGATACTCTGATTTACTATAAATGAGATGGGTAAAGCATTCAGCACTAACAGGAACCATGCCATAATCTCTCCTAAAGATAAGAGAGAACAGAAATGTATAGCATGCTTCAAAATGTGAAAGACACAAAGAAGGAAAAAACAATTTATTAGTAGCATCATGGAGAAAAAAATGAAAACAGAAAAGAACATCTGGATCAGTGAGCTAAGTGCTTATTAAAAAGAAACGCCAGACTGGTATTTTGTATGTGAGAGAGGAAAACATATTTCATGACTGGTTTCAAACGAAGGATAAAGAAAACCTATTGCATGAGACCAAATATTAGTCTTGCAGTCACTGAGCAGAATTTAGAGCAATTTTGAAAAAGAAATAGTGCTATTTCAAGCGATTACAGTGCTAAAATATATTATTTTTAGCCAGACAAGGATCTCATAATAGTTTGAATTCCCTGTGGTATCATTTCACATTATATTTGAAAAATTCCTCAATAAAAATGACAAATATAGAGCAAGTTGAGTTCCCCTGAGGATAGTTTTGGACATTTTCCAGTACAAATTTTAACTATCAATTCTTAACCAAACACCTTCTCCCAACAAATAAATAAATAACAAATTTCACCTGATTAGAAAGAAAGAAATGTTGAAACAAGAACGCAGGAAAAAAAAACAACCTGTCGACTGCTGCTGATCTAGTTAGTCATGAATACTCAAAATTTGCTACTTATAATGAAGATTTTAATCATCTTGCTATGCTGATATTATTAGAAAGACATCCAGTGAAGATTTAAGAAGTAATATAAACCCTGACAAGATATCCTTGTTTCAGAAAGGATAGAGTTAATTTTCTTCCTAGAGATGGTTCAAGATTTTGCATAGACTACAGTCAAACGTAGATGCAATCCCGATAGAACAGTTTTGTCAATTACAACTTGTTTCCCAGATGTCCTACAGGACTACCAGTGAACTACCATGGGGTCCCATCCCTAGGCCTTCTATCTAAAATCATTAAAGATTTCTAGTGATGTGTATGTGACAAAATGCAGTCTAAGTCACTGAGAGAGCAATTAAGCTGTCTAAACACTGGTGTCAGATGCCATTTTAGATTCCTAATATTAAGTCTATCTAGCATCCATCTCACTCCAGCTCTATTCCTGTAGTTCTCTGGACTCGATGATCCTTACGGGTACCTTTCAACTTGAGATATTCTATGATTCTGTAACCTCAGAATCACATCTACCAGCTCCAGGGTATTCTCAGTGTCACGAGGCTCCTATGTTTAGGCAATCAAATTGTCCCCTAAGAGTTCTTGCTCTGTGGCTCCCTATGTGCTAACAAAATGGACCCAACAGTAGTGCCTGGAAGGCCAAAGGATGAGGGAGAAGTAGGAATAGCGTAGTCTGATATTGGGCCACCCCTAGCAAGTCTTCTGTCCATGAACATACACATCCACAGTGCTATTTGAGGAGGTTCAGGCAGATTTTTCAAACCGACCTGCCCCAAGTTTTATAGGCTCATCTACAAATTCCATGGAAATGACATAATTCTATCCAAGATCTACTACAGCCTTACTTAAGGTGAACAAGAGTATAATTTCAGCATGCTAATCAATTACAGGCCTTTTCTAGGAGGAGTATCAACTTGATACATAGAATATATGATACGGTATCTAACTCGGCAGTCTTCGACAGTTCTGTAAAATCCTTATAAAGGTTGGAGAGACAGAGCGAGGAGGGGGAAGGGATTTAAAAAAAAAACCACAGCAGCAGAATGCATTGAAAGGTGAAAAACATTGTCACTAAGCTTGTGAAGTAGTCTTTGTCTCCTTATAATCCATGAAAAATAAGTGGTCTCTGAAAGAGCAAGAACGTGGAAAGCAGTGGACTCATCAAAACTTTAATTCTTTCAATGCCTAATTTCTTCATGGGAAAAAAAATATTTTGAATAAATTAACCAAGTTTTACATTCTGGGACAATTTTGCAAAAGATTATGGAAATCCTAATTTAAACATGTGCAAATATGAGATCTGTTTCTGATTTGAGATCTCACTGCATCCTCTTAAAAACTGCCAGCTGCATTTACACATCTCTGGTACCCTAAGTGAAAGAGAATGTAACTAGTCCAGAAGGGAAAAGACTAGAAATGTCCCCCTTTTCAAAACTGATACTGTGCTAATGGGAGCAAACAGGCTACCCCAGCAGTTAGTATAACCAATAATGCTAGCAATCAGCTAGGGACCAAATGATGACAGAAAAATTAAGTTCTCCCTTTTCCAGCAATGGTGTCTCAAATCTGAGTTAGCTCACAATAGGCAGTCATAGCAGCACTGGCCACTGTCAGTATTAAAAACTCGTCTGAGACCTTACAACCAGACACTAGACCTCAATAAATGTACACAAATTTTAAAGAAGGGAGAAAGAGGAATGTGCCTTGATTCTCTTTTCAGTGCCTCTAGGTAAAAGCAGTTACATTACTGAGACATACCAAAGACCATGCACTAGTCGCAAATATTCAATCTGGATTTGAGGAACAGAAACTTCCCCAGACAGTGGTCTCAAAACTAGAAAGGCAGCTGTAACTTCTTTTTGTGTCCTAAAATTGTACACTGGGAGAAAGGGAGCCCTTGCTAGTACTCCCACTCATCTGTTCACTGACCTCTTCTAGAAGCAAAATGGTTCCTAACATTTTTGGGGTAACACAAAGGGTCAGCTCACAGTAGACCATGAATACGGGCAGACACCAATTGTACAAAACCTGAAAGATCTCTTGGCAACCTTTGTATCAATAATTTCAACTGTAGCCACCTGCCTATATTATTATAGGCATTTCCCCCTCCAAAACATACTCAAGTAGCTGAACAGTAATTAATGCAAAGAAAATTAGAGATTTGGCTATCTCTGTAGATCCAACCTGCATGTTTCATGACCACAGAGGAAAGACACAGACCACAGGGGGCCAAAAAACCTACACAGATCTCCTTTATCATCCTTTATCAGGTCACTTCTTTTCCTGTTCATACTTGCTAACCTACTTTTCCCCACTACCATGGGAATCCCTGGAAAGAAAGTTGAAAACAGCAAGTCGTTTGTAACAATGCACATGCACTGTTATTTGAATTCCAAATAGTTGAACTATTTGAACTATTTGATTTGTGTCCTGTTTTATTCAGAGACATTTATGGACATTAGTACAAATAGTTTTTCTTTCGTTTTCAAATGAATGGCGGGCTGCTCTTTGTATAAGAAATACCTCTTGCACAATTAATCTTTTGACCACCTCAGGTTGAGGCAAATAAATCTATTCAGTCTGTTCTGTAACAAACAAAATTTGAAGTTTGAGTCAAAAGCCTGACAATGGTTCCATCTGAACAAATATTACTCAGTTTGAAAATGAACGCAGTAGGAAACACATCTACTGAAAGGCTAACCAAATCCTTGCTCAGAAATTCTAGTTCCATAGCTTCAAAGACTGCAGACTTGTATTAGTGGACTTCGTTATTTCTGGTTCACTACCTGATTTCTTGCCTTTTATTGCAAAGAACCTCAGTTTTTACCACAGTAAAGGTGCTGCATGTCACAGAAAAAAACACCACCACCAAAAAAAACAAACCTCCCTCTCCACACAGTTTTATAAACATCACACTGAAATTGATTTGGGACTGTACCAAACACTGGTCATTGCATTTATGTTGGGAATACTGAGAAAGATATTCCAAATATTCCTTCACTGCACTTGCACTTTTAACATTCTGTAATTTATGTTGAAAGAGCATATCCTAGAACTACATTAACCTAAAAGAGAAAAAAAGGGAAGGGGCAGCTCTAAGGATATAACTGGAATTACAGAAGTTGGAAGAAACAGGCAAAATATATTTACATGAATGTGACAGATTACTTTTCTTAAAATAGAATCCCAAACATGCAGCACATCCTTTGGGGGTGGGGGGCAAAGTTTTAGCAATGTTAAAAATAGGCAAACTGATATGAGTTAGGATTAAGAATGCCAACTTTAAGAGTCTAGTCTAAACCATACCAGAGTCAATGGATAGGTTGGAACTTACTCTGTGTGATCTGTATCACATTTTTACTGAAAACATACCAGATGACAAAATGCAGCAAGCAGGTGAGGCCTTCTTACCACAGCCATGAAATGAAAATTCCATGTCAGCATTCACTACTTACCAAGACAGTTGTGGCCATCATGGGCTAACATGAACCCATCATAGCATGTACACCTGTAGTTGCCTGGAATGTTGATGCACTCGTGGACACAACCCCCATTGTAAAAGTCATTTTCACACTCGTCAATATCTAAAACACAAGAGGAGGAAAAAGCAGCTTTTGTAAAAACAGAATATTAAGAATACAGAAAAGTTTTTCCAGCCGAGCATGGTCTTTGAATATATACACATTCCTAATATTTCTATATAATCATATTGCATATATCATCCAAAAGATGTCTCAGGGAAGTACATCATGACCAGAGTGATGAATACATCAGGGTCATGTGACCAAAAAGCAGCAAGCCAATATATAGAAATCTCCTTCCCCAAATAATTGTGGTATCATCACATTAAGCAACGATATGTTGTCAAAAATTAAGAAGAAACACCTCTTTTGGAATTCTTTTTTTTTAATATTTAAAATGTAGGTTTGGGGGTTAGCCTTTAAAATTATCAAGCAGACAATAACATAAACCTTTGACTTCGCTGTCACAACTACTTGAAGTGTGCTATTCATATGGCGTAAGAGCAAAGTATGCCCTGTTTAATAAAAAAAAAGTCTTCCCCTCAAAATAAACCCTATTATGATTTTCTGTATTAATTCATGTACAGCAACAACAACAGCAATAACAAGTCCAATGCTTCATTCTTAGAAAGTATGCTAGAATTACTTTTGTACACTGGCCTGTATGAAAGAGTACCATGAATTATGAGATGCGTTCTGCTTCAACTACAAACAACCCTATTATGATCTTCCCTCCTTCATACAAAGCAAAATTCACTTCTTCACTCATTCTAGAAAGTGCAAACTTTCTTCTTTTTACAGACTGTACCTTGGCTTACACACGGAATGTCAGCATCAAAGTCCCTGCTGTGAATGATTCAGTGGTGTGTATCAACCAACTGAAAATGCATAAATAATTATAGACAGTCTCACAGCTTGATAACTATCAGCTCTATATCTGTGCTGTGCTAGATCAAAAACCCCAGCTACTGTGCCTTAGGCAGCACACAATAAAAGGAAAAGTAACCTTTTAAAAGATCACCTATTAGTACATCAGAGCTATCCTGGCAGTGCATTTCAAACATGCCTTCCATTGCATAGGGAGTTGAAGTATTTCTGAACTAGGTTCATATTCATACAGCCTTATTTTTTTTTTTACTTTTCCAGGAAAAACTTTGCTACCTGGTATCACACCCAGCTGCAATCTCAAGACAGCAAGGTAGTCTGGTAAAACCATATTCTTTGGAAAAGCCACTGCGACTCAGTCACTCAATGCTTTCAGTATTTTTGGCCCTTGGATGGAGTCGGGCTAGGTTTTTCCCTCCTTGCACAATCTTCTGAGAAGACCAATCTCTCAGAGCAAGCACAGGCTTCTTCCAAGCGTTTTTGCAAGCCTTCCCCCTCAGGTTGGTCCCTCCCAAAAACCTACCTTAAACTCAGAATAGCCCAGGTTCTCCATCCACTTCCCTCAACCAGCTTTCTATAATCTCCTCAGAAGCTTCAAACAGGAGCTATAAATTTATCTGCAACACCGATTAGGTTTTTTGTATTCAGCACCACAAAAATGCTGGAAATAAGCCGGAGAAAGGAACTTCCTAACAAAAATACTACCTGCTGTTTAAGATAAATTTCCTAGTATTTCAATCACTGCTCTATTTCAGAAAGTTCCCATCCTTTACTAATCCATTAGTTGTACAAGTGCCCAGCCAGGACAATCTGTTTTGTCAGGACAGATGTGCTCTAACTTATGGAGCCCAGTATGACAACAAAAAGATACGGCTGTGATTTTTCCTGAAAACAATAACCAGCAAATCCATTACAATGTATTGGGCTCATTCTGAACACACCGCATGGCAGTGCAAAGCCCCCAAGAAGCCTCCTCCTTTATTTACAGCCCAGCGCGCCTGGGTGCATACTGCCGAAGTGTTCCAGTAAGGTTTCCACTTAGCAGTTACTTGCAGCTTTCATACAACCATTCATTAATCATTCAGAAACTCCCAGTCATCTGCAGGTTACAGGGACAAAAATAAGAGTTCCAGAGCAATGCCACGTTTAAACATAATCAAAAAGCACGTAACATGATTTTGATGTCAGACACGTTGGGCATTCCCTGAGGACACTCAGGAAAAATGGTAACATAATTTTAAGTTTTGTCCTTAACTTTTATCCAGCGCTAAGTTTCTTTACAACAGGGAATTCAGAAGAAACTGTTATCAGCTGTTACGTTACTCAGCACTGGCTGATCAATTCATTCCCTTTTTTCAAACAATGAACCAAATAGGACTATCTGTTTAAATAAGCAACGTGAGAGCCTTCAAAAGGGATGAAAATCAAACAAACATGAAGCCTTTTGAATGTCTACCTCTTACGCTTAATTCTAAAAAGCTGTACTGTGATTAGCAGCTCAAGGTGCTGCTGTAATACAAATACTTAAGTTCCAGAAAAGGTAATCTAACAGATACATAAACCAGAAAAATGACAAAAGGAACAGATTCTTTTCACCTCTCTCAAGAAGTTCTGGTTACATTAAATTTTGCAAAAGGATTAGAAGATTACTTCTCCCTTTTGTATCCCAAGAGCTGTTTAAAATTAGGAACGGAGCCAACCATTCTACCTAATTTTGATAGCTATGTTGTAGGATTTTTTGGTACTTCTTTCCCCTCCAAAACCACACTGCTATTTAAGAAGACTTTGCCTGGCAGGACGGCTGGAATTTCTATCTCCAGTATTGCTAGTAAAACACCAAGTGACTAGGAGTGGTATATTTAACACTTTATTTTTAAAAATAAAACCAAACAATCAAACCAAAGGCATACACAAAGACTGCAATATCCAAATGTTGAACTGTTTTCAGCCTGCAAACACTGTGAACATTACCCCATCCTCTCTTTGCACATACCTGGAGGAGGACATTCTTTAAAGAACGCCTCGGTGAAAGTGCTGAACAACTACAATTTACGGGTAGACTATTACATCTGACATGGCAGGATATGGCTTCCTTCGTAAGCTTAATATACTGATAAAAGAAAACACATGAAACCTGCAGTCTTGCTCTTCATTTTATCTATTGTAAAACTCAAAATTTGCAGAGGCCAGCTGTGTTCACTCCCTTTTGGTTAGGTTGTACCCTACTATTCTTTTTTTCCTGTATTTGGTAGAATTGAGCTCTATCAAAATCAAACAGAACCAATCTTTTGCCTCCAAACACCTCTAACTCAGAAAGACAACTCTTCCCACTAATTTCGTAGCTTCAACTATCCGTAACATTTTTACTGTTTGATCACTTAAAATTGTCTTTCACCATGAAATAATTACCATAACACAAGAATGAAACAAGAGAAACAGAGAAATGCTGCCATCTGACCACAAAATTGCTGTGCTGTATGCTGGTGAATACACTGTTGAATTAGCAAGATTTACTGCAAGCTAGCTCTCAACAGGAAACCTAAATTTTTATCTATCCTGGAAAACTATTTACAAGTTTTTACTCCAGTAAAATCTGGCTGTGCAGACAGGCAAATCTTGGGGTGTTTAGTCAAGAAAACACCTTAAAAAAAAAGTATTCCTATTTCCTCTCTACGAGGAATTCATTTCATATGATATTACAATGGCAGCAATTACAGGAGCCCTGGAAAAAAATGAAATGCATCAAAATGATTAAGAAGGTGTAGGACCATTTATAATAGTGACAGTCTGCCAAGAACCTATTTGGTCTTACTAGGTTCAAATGAGACCACAACTCCTAGTGCCAGACCTGGATGTATGCAACCACATCCCTCAGCTGCTAGCAAGATAATTTTGACCATCTCTTTCTGGAACTGGTTTGGGAAATCTCAAAAATCCACTGCTTGTTTCAAAAGTCTTAAAGGAAAAAAATATTGGGGGAATTAAAAAAAGAGATAAAAAGAAGCTTGCTTACTTGGGTGTACTAGTAACTGTACCGGTTCAGCTATTAGCCATGGTGAAAGAAGCTTGGAAATCAAATCATAATTCCTTATGGAAAACAGAGGTGAATCTTTTGTTACAGCCTGGAAATAACTCTTTCAGTAGCCTGAGGGAACACAGCACTGCCATGTTCTGCTGTTGTCTTCCTCAATGAGCAGTAGTGTTACTTAAAGATTACATACTGTATGAGACTGCAATTATTATTTAAGCATCCAGTAACTTTTTAAAACACCTAGACAAGTATCTGGGAAAAATCAAGCATTTCTTACCATGTGGAAGTGCTGTAATTTACAATCACTATTTTATTTATAGGAAAAGAATGTCAAATGTCTAAAGTGACCTAATTCTTTTTAGTCTCAGCAGACCTGTATCTACCTCATACATAACTGGGGCTGATTCTTCTTTCAGTACCACAAGTAAGACTGACACTATCCCAGAGATGTGTTGTATTTGTATATTTTGCAACAAAGGTATGGCACGCTTGTAAGTCTCACAAGGCCACCCAGCAGAGAAGCAGCTGTTCCAGGAGCACATACAAGTTGACTAAGAAACATTCAAAATAAAACAGTCCGTCTCTCCTGCTTCCAGTATCACAGCATTTCAGCTTTCTGTTTCAGCAGAGAATAGAAGACACGTCAGCATGAAATAACTAACATTCAAGACAAAACACACTGCAAAACAGGGTAAGGAAAATGCTAGTTCCCATTTTGTCTAAACGCTTTCAGCAGCAGAAACTCACTGCATGTTAACCATCTTTTCCAAGCACTAACAATCTTTGCTAGAAGGTGGCATAGACTATAAACCAGTCAAGTACAAAATTTACCTCCAGCAAAATCCATTCCCACTCTTCATTATACCAGTTGCCATTCATGAAGTTCCTGAATGTTCCAAGATCATTACAACACATAAAACTAAATTTATTTGTCAACACAGCTACAGATCTTTATGGGGAAAGTTACTGAAACCAAAGCAAACGTCTGCATAGCGCTGATGAATTTTGGATGAGTGTCACTGTTAAACTGTCACAGAAGCCTTATGGATTTTAACATGCAAAAGGAAGAATGGCTAAAGCCTGAAAGTCAATGAGCCAAATTCAGCTTTTAGTGTTGAATTCCAAAGATTTCTAGAGAATAAGGGGA